CAGCCACTTCTCCTCACTGGCCAGAGCCCAGAAACTCAATTCAGGGGCGTTGGGGTTTTTTGCTGGTTCATGAAAAACATGACAGATTTCAAATGTCCTTAAAGAACATCTCCAAACCGATGGCAATGGGAAGTCCAGGAGTCCAGATGGATGACTCATCCCTTTCCCTGCTAGGCTCCTACCTAGCAATCCAGAATTAAGCCTTCTTCCCCCATTCCCTCCCTTTTTTAATAAGTTTTTTTTAAATTCCCAATGTTCTGGAGTGTTAAGGTCGCTTTTCAGGTCTGCTGAGCTACAGCTTCAAACAAGCAGTGCTTGCCAAGTCCTATTATGGCATCTCAAGGCAGTCACCAAAAAATACATGCAGATGGCTTCTAAATAAACCCAAAGGAAAGACAAAATCACACACTTTAAATGCTCTGCCACAACAGAGCAACAACTGCGGCGTGCAGTCCTCACAGGATGCAGAGAAATCACTAATAGGTGGCACTTTCATGCCTGGAAGTGCCAGAATGATACTGGTAATTGAGACTTACTAATGAAGTAGTCTGAAGTATAGCGGGATTCTGGGTATGTTGTATTCACTCCGTTTGCTGGGTACGGTTTTACCTCTTCTGCAAAGAGGAAAGGAAGGAAATGTCACACGTCCATTCCGTGCTTCGCAAGACTTGCTGTAATACAGAGAGGTCTGAACTTCCTAAAATGCTCCTCTCCGGGTTAAACTGGGACGCTCAAAGGAACCGAAATGACTTGGGCGCCGAAATCCCACGGAAACAAGCGCTTGATGCGCTTGGGTTCCTTCGGGAATTCTTGCTGCAGGCATGCCCAAATTTAAGCAAAACAAACCAAAACAAAGCAGAACAGCCACAACTTTCTCAATCAGAGGCTCCAGGTGGTTCTGAAATACTAATTGCATAATTTCCTTGCCTGCCTTAGTTTTTGTCGCCTTGCATTCTCTTGAGGATTGCTTATCACACTTACATGTACGAGCTCGTGAAAAAAAAACAACCCACCGTACAAGGACAGCTGTTTCCCTGAAAAAGCCCCTATTTTTAGGCGAGCAGTAGGTGTGTGCAAGTGGGTAACGCGTACCAAAACCACCTCCGACAACCCCAAATTCACGCTAATTCTCAGCCTATGCAGCACCTTTTACCTGACACCTGATGCAGGCAGAGGATCCCATGCTCAGAACAGCTTTGCTGCTCTGTCCATCGCCCAAATCCTGACACATATTCCACCACGTACATATGGGCAGCACACAAAATTTTAGCCTTTCTATAGGCATAATTCACCGAGAAAGAGCACATATCACATCAAAGCACAGATTCTCCGCTGTCTGTTGCTTTTTCCGAGCACTCTGGTGCTCCTGGGCTTGGCGCTGAATTTGCTTTCCCACGTAAAAGCCACATTGCTCCTACCCTGACCAGTTTTTCCATTAACACCTTACTCATTCCAGCATGGCATGTGGGTAGAGATACCGGCACGGGAGATGTTATTTTGTTTGCAGAGGGTAACCAAAATAAAAAACACACAGACAACTCCGGGTTATGTTTACTTCTGCGGAGGCTAAAAAGAAGCAAACTGAAGATAACGCACGTTCGCTTGCAAAGAGCCTAATTTTGGCCCTCTCTCCTGGGGATTGCAGGGTGGAAAATATTCTCTAACAAAAGAAGGTTTTGTGCAAACAGAGAGACCTAATGAGAAACGCTCTTTTCCTCTCCCCACGGTGTCTGCCAAGGGGCAGGGTGGGTGACCACAGAGAAAGAGAGCAAACTTCAGCTATGCTTACAGTCAAGTGGAGGGCACTGCTGACTGCTGGTAACTGAAGAGGTTATTTTAGGAAGAAATTTGGAAAAAATACGCCTGAAAATACCCAAATCCATGCAGGGAAAAGTCGCCCATCTGCTGCCGTTTTTAAACCCTGAGCAGGCTGTGGTACGTGAGTCACCCTCGGAAAGCCCTCGCAAGGGAGGCATGTTGGCTGAAGGGACAGCAAGGTCACAGCCTGTCCCAGCACGACCCGATGCCGGCGGTCGCACCTCTACAGGTAAAGCCAAACATTTTGGGGTTAACCACCGCTCCCAGCATCAACGCCCCCCAGTGATGATGGTGGGTGGCTGGGGAAGGTGGAAGAGATGGGGACTGGCAAGTTGGACCCCAACTCCATGGTTGAGCCTGGGGAAACCTTGATCTCTCCACGCTTCACGTCCCCAGCTGCCAAGGGGAGACAACCATCTCCTCCCGCATGGGCAGAGATGTGGCAGGGATCGCTTTGCACGTTAGGTTTGTACAGCACCAGCACAACAGAACCCGGGTCTTGTCAGGGGGTTGGAGCGGTATTACCAGTAACACGAGCCCCATGACTTACAGGGAACAGAAATTAGTCCTTGGGGTGAGGCTGGTTATTCCTTGGAAGTTCTGTTTAATTACTCTCCAAATACTTCACAGACATTGCCCTTCTGGGAAATGTTTAAGAACCCACCATAGAAGCTAAGGCTTAGGTAGCCTATGCAAGAAGTGACACAGTCACCAGTAAAACTGAACGCGGAACGGAGAAGTCTGGGTTCCCACGCTTATGCCAACAGCGTTGAGACAAAGAAATTCAGCTTTATTCTTTTTCCTCCTTTTGGAAGAAAAGCTGCAGCAGGCACGAAGATTTCCAGCTTCTTTGTAAAAGCTCCTCTCTGTCTCCAGCCTTTTGCACCCTCGTGACTGCAGCATCCCAACACCCTCCTGCATCAATGCTCTAAGGAAACCTGACCCCTGCTTTACTGTGAAATGACAGCACCAAGTTCACCTCCATGCCTTGGGGAATCTGCAGGAAGAAGCGAACCCAGCTCTCATGACTCAGTCAATACCTGCAGCACATCGCCCCCCTCTCCAGCAGGTTAAAGCCCCAACAAATGAAGAGGGGTTGCGTGAAGGCACAGCTAACGCTACAAGCAATGGCTTATAGCGAGGAGAAACTGGACTGACCGCGATGTTTTGCTTTGTTTGGTTAAGCTGCTTGCTGTTGATATAAGCACTCAATAAAAATTACGCCAAATGAGAAGAACAGAACAGATATAGAGTCAAAGAGCAGCAAAACAGCCCGTCACACACAGATCCTGGGAAGAGCCGTGTTTACCTTTTGCAAACCACAGGTAGCAGTAAAATTAGTAATCAGCAATTAACATCCATTTGTCAATGGTTTCCTGGAAGGCACAGCTTTGCTCCCCCCTCCCCTTCCTGCCACCGGTACAGGCCAGCTGACAAGCACGCAGGGTTGGTATGACAGCGCAAGGGATGTTCCAGGAAAGCAAATAGCTCTGCACAAAAAAGGAGCTAGAGGAAAAGAGCCCAGATTTGCTGCTGCTCCTGGTTGTGGCTCAGTTAAAGGTGTTAAGCTCTTCACCTGCTCTTTCGAAACCATCCCAGGTTAAGTGTTGCTTGGGCATCCAGACACTATGAAAATCAACACTCAAAATCAATGTGTGTGTCCCCCGGTCAACGAAAATAAATGCCCTCAAATGCTGTCATGCAAGGACTGGCAGAGATGGCTTCTCCTGGGGGGGACACAGCCACTCTTAACAAAATGCCATTACACATTTTGGGACACGAAACAAAGCAAAGCAGCTTCCAATCACAACTGGGAAATTAGGGTGGGATTTCGGTGGTATTGTCATACCCAGTTCTACCGGAGGAAGTAGTAAAACTCGCAACGGGAGCTGAACAAGCTGAGGAAGAATGCTTTGGAAAATCCCACCGTCGTTTCCAGGCAGGCAGAGTGTCCCAGCCCACTGCGGATTCCTGCCAAGAGGCCAGCGCAGACACCCTTCCTCTTTCAAGCAGTGCCAGGATTTGCATTGCCTGCTCCTGGTTGGGATGCCCATTTGAAAGACTCCTGGGAAGCTGAGCTTTGAAAACTGCTTTTATTGGGATTAAAGCCCAAGGTGAACACCTCATGGCAGAGCCAGACTGCGAGCCAAGGTCTTTGGAAAGGCCCAAAAGCAGGCTAGCCAGGACAGCGTGAGCCATTCACCCTGGAGACTCCAGGACTCACCTTTCTGCAAGATCTCCAGATGCTCCCAAAGGATATCTCCCACAAAGTCAGGCGCTAGCTCCAGGAAGCACTCCTTGCCCAGGGCACAGAGGGCAGCTCCGTTCATGCAAAACTTCTGGAAATCCACTCCCTTCAAGCTAAACTCGTTCACAGCCCACATCACCCAATCCCGCACGTGTGTCTCTGTCCACTGCTGGGGATCTGCAACAAGGGGGTGTAGAAGAGATCCGTTAATGAGCAACCAGGAGGCATTTTCCCAGGAAAACGGGACACAAACAGTGCTACAGCTGCACAGTCTCACCCCAAGGAGACTGGCAGTCCACTGGCATCAGGGTAAAACGTGGTGGTGGAACACCACACCTACAGTTTGGATCAGCTTTATTGCAGACATATTTCATACAAGGAATGACTTGGTTTGGACTTTTCAGTTCTCTGACCCCTCCTTCCACCCATTTCTCAATTTTTCTTGGTTTCTCCCTGTCACCAGCCTCTGGCAAAAGGTCCCTGCTGCAGCTCCTTATAGCGGAGATGACTTGCAAACAGAAGTCCTGGAGCTGTCTCCAAAGGAGCAGGTCCCCAAAGCTACAAGAGCAGCCATCCAGCAGAAGCGAGCAGGACAGTCAGGCACAATCTCTCAGACAGGGGTAGTTTTGCAAGCGGTACTGAAAGGTTTTGCCTGTACCTCCAGGTTTTTGCCACGAAACCAGGCAACGCTACACGGAGAGACTCAACAAAAGAGATGGCAGATGTGGAGAAGGGCAGCCTGGCAGGGGGACACAATCTCCGTGGCTACCACAACTGCTTGCTGGGAAACCGTATCTTACCTTTGGGGATTCCCAGCCGCTGTTGCTCTTTTGCGAAGCCGCTGAAGGTGGCTTTCAACGCCTGAGACATCATTTCTTTGCTGCTGGGAGTTAATAAAGGCACATCCGCACATTCCATATCTGAAAGAGATAAGAGGGAAAAATGGCCATAAGGACACAGGACTGGGAAAGATGACTGGAGTCATGCTGGCCATTGAAAAACAGAGAAATCTTTTCTTCTTCTGAAAATTTCACACCCAGACCCTCTAGTTCTATACCTAAACCCTCCAAATCCATGAGCAGGCTTTTTAAATACAAGAAAATCAATCTTGTGCTTATAATAAGCCTGAACTTAAAGGGCATAAACAAGCCACGTCTGGTAAGCCAGGCTACATGGTGCACATGGTCTCCCTACAAGCCAACCCTGAATATGCTACTGGCAATTTGATGGTGATACCAAAGACCTTTCCAGACATCAGCCTGCTGGGCTTCATCACCCCAGGTGGTGTCTGGAGCCTGGGAGATAGCTGAGCAGCTCCAGATGCCAACGAAGGTAGTCTCCCACACCAGGGTGAAGAAGAAAGCGGGGACAAAAGTACCTCTGAATTACTGCTCCACTTCTGGGCAGCACGGTCCAACGAAAAGCAAAAGGAAAAAATTAATTTTAAAGAATCACGGGAAAAACTAAGCTGACAGCAGGCTGAGGCGGGATGAAGAACCGGCAGAAAACCCATTCGAGGAAGGAGGGAAAACAAAGAGCTGGAAAATCCCACATTAGCACAGAGTTACATCATGCACAGCTCATAGCACGGAGCGACGCGATGCGGGGTGAGTCACTGAACAATGTTCAGCCGCCCCCATGGGAGAGCACGGGGCCAAGCCAAGAGCCGGGCCTTGGAGTAAGTCCTGATGAGAAGCAAAGCTCTTCCCTTTCTTTTTTTTTTTTTCCATCTTCTTCTTTGGAAGGAGGTGGCTATTTGTAGACAAAGAGTTTCATAAACAAAAGCAACCATTTAAAAAAAAAAAAAACAACAAACCTCCTCAATTTGAATATAAGTTTGGCTCTTTTTCATATATTTTAGGCACCTTTCACAGAGAAGGAAAGCCTCATACAACCGCCATCTCAAACAACCGAACTTTATCCATCTTACACGTCAATCTTCCACCTGAGGCTGGTTTAGCACTGCAGCCCACTGGAAATATTTCAATGAAAACTGGGGAAAAATGACAACATGTGCAAGCTCCTTTGGTGTTTTCATGAAGGTCTGGATGCAGACATCAAAAATCAAACCTCTCTGTTTTGTGGAAACTCCCGCCACCTCAGCTTACCATCCCTCAAAGTTCATTTAAGCTCTGATTTAAGAATTACACCTGCAAAATGCTTGTTTCAAGCAGCGTTGAGTGCATCCCTAATGCAACGGCAAGTCAGGGCTGCAGACAGCGCTGGAGCTACCCAGCATGGGCAGCCCAGTGCAACAACGCTGCTTTCCAGTTTGACCCGGTCTGGGGCTCCTGCTTCAACAGCCAAACTCGTGGGCATCATTTAAAGTCCAAACAACACAACGTTGGGGTTTTTTTGTAACTGGGAATCTGGGGGTTGGGTCAATAAGCATCCACGTGCAGCTCTGTGGCAGAGGGTGAGGCTGACCACGCTGCAAAGCACCCCCAAATCATCAGCTGGATGCACCAAATGCAATTCCGCCACCAAGCCAAGCAGAGCAACTTTTCTGGCTCCACCTTTGCACCTTCCACCTATTGTCCCCAAGTAAAAGACAGGCAAAATCACCCTCGCTATTCGCAGCTCCCTCTAACGTTAGTCCCCAAGGCACTCAAGTCATGATTTGCACAGCTCTTTGCTCAGGTAGGAGTAGTAAAATTCCCAACACCAAGCCTCTTGGGACGCGATTCTTCCCCCTAACCCCACCACATAAATCAAGACTTGCCTGCCACAGTGGAAGTATCAGGACCTTTGAAAGTAAATAATACATTCAAAGGCTATTTGGCAAATTACACTTCATTATTTACTGGATTTGGCTGGAGAGGGCACGGAAAAACGAGCAGCCACCCTCGCTATCTCTGTTCTCCATCTGCTGCGTTGAGATAACACTGGGAGAAAGTGGTTCAGTGCCCCTTTCCCTTCATCCTCATGTTACATTTTAATGCTTTGCTTTCTGTGCTCTGTGGTTACAGGGACCACCCAGGAATCCGCTCCCCTCCGCCGCCTGGTTAAACGGCAGTTCACTGCTCCCGGGTGCTATGGGAAGATGAGTCAGTTAGGCTAAGAAAACGTTTCTAACCCCAATTTCTACACTGAATCACTCGTGAAAACCTGCGTGGAGATGACCTCCTTAGGCAAGCCACGAAGAGCAGCAGGGCAAGGTGAGGTGCATGCAAAACTGTATCTTTATCTCTGCAATAGAAGCGAGCACCTATCACCGATCCCCCCTGTTTTCTGCTGCAGGACTCATGGGGTTGGCTTTGCACATACCCAGTGAATCAATTTTTCAGTAGCGGGGGATAAGGTTTCAGTTTAGTAAGGTGAACGCTGAGCTCTGCACAAACAACATGTCAAAACAGGGAAGACTTAAAAGTGATTCCCAGGGAGAGGTCATCAGAGAAGCAAACAGTCTTATTTTCAAATTTAAAAAGAAAAAAAACTAAAAAGCAAAGTGCCAGAGGAGGGTTCCTAAACCAAAATGTGCATTTCAAGGTTTCTCCATCAAAATACGTTGTACTCTGCAGATTTAGGATTGAAACATCGTCTACTTTTTTTCCTGTTAGACCGTAGCTACTAGTTAAAACTTCTTCAGAAGACAAAACAGCTAAAAAGCCCCAAGCCTGCTAACGCTTGCAGCAGCCTTATTTTAGTCAGCAGTGTCCCACATCTAGAGAAAAGCTCACACGTGTGAAACTAAACGTGTTTGTAAAGCTCTGCAGACGTGTTTGTGGACAAGTCTCAGCCGTGTGATCTGAAAGAGATGGGGGGGACAGGCAGTTTTTAATCTAAATTCTGCCCTTGCTGGCTTTGAGATCCTGAATTTACTTAAATATCATTTTCTTTGTTAAACCCTGCGCGTCCGGGGAGCACAACGGGCTTTACCCTGTTCTGCCCGATGCAGCTTTCCTGGGTGCAAGGGTGAGTTACCTCCCAGGGAGGAGAATCGAGCCCTGGTGATATCCTCCAGCACCCGCAGACAAGTCCTTTGCCTTCAGTTTGGGATGCGTAAAGGTCAGAGCCAAGCAGAATTTCGGTAACAAAAGCGACCTGGGCTTAGCTCCCCTGGTTTCAGCTTTCACTGCCATCTGAAACCCGTTTCCAAGATTTTAATCAAATCTTGCACAAATAAAATGTCTCCTTTTGTGTACCTCCTGCTGTCCACAAAGTACACACACGCATGCATGCGTGCACACACACAGGCTCGGAAGAAATGTAGGGGAAGGAGCAGTAGCCAGCGCCAAACCCAGCTGTTACACCTAAGCTCAGTTTAGAAATTTCAAGGGGTTTAATCCGAAAAGCAAGCGCAGCAGCAGGGGCCAGGCCTTGCATCCCCCACTCGGGTTTGCTGTATCATTTTTACAACGCCCATTAAAGCCTTGTCGACACGGCCGCCACGTGCAGTTCGCTGCCTAGATGCCATGTCCTCCTCTTGCTGTCGGGCAACGGCATTTGATTCTCCTCCTGGGAGACCAGGCAGGGTGTTATGGTTTGATTTTTAAATACTAACAGGAGCTGCAGTCGCTCTGGAAAACTATGTCACCAGCATCTCCAGCATCTGTAGAGCAGAGATAAGTAATTTGCCTTGCATGGTGGGAAGGCAAAAAGGGACATCTATCCATCTGGCTGCAGCTTTCCAAAGCTTTCCAAAGCAAGGAGGGATCTGGGGGCTCACTTTGAGACCCCGGAGGCTTCTCAAAACCAGACTCTGATTTTTCATCCAGCTCCCTGACGTCCCTGGGGACAGATCTTCCGAAAGACAAGAGGATAATAACAAGCCGAGAGCCAGCGCTGCATCCCCGCATGGGTTTCACGCTAAGGGGGCCTGCCCAAAACCCACCACCCCGCTTGTGCTAGGTGTTGCACCAACAGGCGTGTCCCCCGAGAGAAAACCAGGCAGCGAACGGACAAAGAGGCCAAAATCACCGAGTTCATCTCCCAGCCAAATTCCCGCTCTGCTCTCACCAGGCTCCGCGTGTGTAAACTATTTCGACGCATCTGATCTTTTTAAAGGACTACAATTTACAAACTTTAGGGTTTTTGACCTTAAAATGCAAGCAACCCTGCTGCATGCCAAAGCATTAGCATCTGATTGCATAAGCAAAATAAATGGCAGTAAAGGAAAAAAAAAAAAAAAAAAGATGCTCTGAGCAGGAGGATGGGAGCAAAGTCATTTTTCACCCAAGTTTCCACTCGGGGTCAATGCCTCTTTAAAGCTCCCCTCGGCCACTCACTTTTTTTCCCATCAAAAGCGCCAGTGTGTCCTGGTCTGGTCCCTGCTATTTTACCCGGTAGCCTGCGTGTAAATGGATGTACGGCGGGTCAGAGTGGAGCCAGCTGACCCGGTGGCCTCCTCCTGCCCTTGCTCTGATGGATGGACATCAAGGTCAGGAACCCAAGGCGCTGTTGTCTCAGGTAAAAGCCTGCTCCCTGCCTTCTCGTCCTCCTCTTCCCAGGCCTGAGACTAACCCCACAGTATGCTGATACCGTGAGGATCTCGGGCCCTTTGGTGGCTTGAAAGAGGCATGGGGACAAGCCCGGGAGAAGATGTGTGTCGTTTTCAAACCAGATCATTTGCAGACAGTCCAGAAAAATCATCTCTCCCAAGGGCTGCACGGATTTGTGCCTGTCTCCCTCAAAAGACCTCAGTCCTCGAGCCCTGAGCTAGCTGAGATCCTCCTCTGAGCCCCCATGCAGGACAGCCACCAGTGATGCCCCACCTCGAGGTGTCCACAGTCCAAGACTGGATGTCTGTGATGGAGCAGGAGCAGTTTCTCAGAGGCTCTGCAAGGAGGGACACGGGTTTGCTCTCCTACCCTCTTCCCGTGTGCCCACAGTGAGCCCGTGACCGCCAAGCCCCAAGACTCCCCATCTCCAGCCCACACCGAGCCCGACGCTGCCGGAGCTCATCCCCCCGCCGTGCCGA